AAAACAGGGGGGGGGGGGGGTATAAACTGGACAAAATACTTTATCCTGTGTTTGTATAAAAAAGCCAATTACCCTTCTTCGCCTTGTTAATATAAGATGCTGGGAAAGATGGGGTACAATTCTAGGATTCTGATTTGTGCAAGCTTTCTGTAATTATTATGATGCTAGAAGGATCAATATTTATGTTGTAAAAAATAGGTATTGACCCTTAGATGTAATGTTAACACAAATTGCACTTGAAACTTGAGATTCCCTTTATCCCCCTGTCCCAATGTGGATGTTGACTTTCAACCCACTGGACCTTTTTTTTTTTTTTTACTGGACCTATTATTCTTGCTATGCTATTATGTTATTGTCCAATTACTCTTGAGCTTTATGATATTCAATGGTATGTTCTTTGGTACATATATTATTTAGTGCTATATAATTTGTTTTAACCCAAAACTCTCCAGCGAGTTTTTGAATAGAATAATAGACTTAAAAGTTTCTTTTGAATAGANTTATGATATTCAATGGTATGTTCTTTGGTACATATATTATTTAGTGCTATATAATTCGTTTTAACCCAAAACTCTCCAGCGAGTTTTTGAATAGAATAATAGACTTAAAAGTTTCTTTTGAAAGTCTAACTTAACTTTATATTTACAAATCCAAATGTTTAATGTATCTTGATAGATTATGACAAGAAATGTGAGCAGTTTTATCTTCAAATTTCATGTTGATATTTGGAATGTTTTGAAGTAAGTGCCATGGAATGGTCAAAAGAATGCTTTTGGCCCTCTTTGGGGGGTCTAGTAATCAAACAGAGCCATGTACATCAGTGCCAATTAGGGATGCACATAGGTAGGCCTGTTTGGTATTTTACCAATCCCAGAACAGAACCAACCTAGGTTGGTTACAAAATTTTTGAATCTGTACCAAGCTGATCATGCATTGTAGCAAAACCGAGTGGACCTGATTAGATTGGGTTGCTAACTTTGCTTTGGGTTGGTTTTTGGTTAACTGAGAACATACAAAACTTCGTAATACAAGTGTGCATCAATAAACACAAAGATCAAACAGCACGGGTATTCACTCTCGTTGCTCGCTTTCTCACCAGCCCCATCAATAACTCTGCTCTTGATCCGTTCTTTGATCACCACCAATCCTGATCCTAACAAGTATATGTAGTGAGAGGAACACAAATCAAACACTAAAGAATATAGAAAACAGAGTAGTCGTAAGCATACCATTTTAGAAGTGGAAAACCCACCATTCTTGTTCACTTGTTCCTAATCAAAATACTAAGTTTGTAAGAGGTTCTTTTTTATCACTTAAAAATAGCTTTTCCAGCAGTGATCATTTCCGACATTTGGGCAACAGTACTCGCAGTAACCTTCTTGGACATACCCACCAAAACTGACCACACTAATTGCTTATCACAGTCACAACCCCTACTCCCACAGCTTTCTTCAAGCTCAAAAACAGCCCCATCAAAATTGACTTTAAAAGACCCAGACCTGGGCTTTACTAAAACAGTTACCTCAGTACTAGACTCCATAATGAAATATAATGCACCCAGTATTACATAGCTGCCTGACTAATTACTTGAGGCTCCTTTCTTAAGTTGTCATGAATCACGTCTTTCTAGTCTTCCATANTAGTGCTATATAATTTGTTTTAACCCAAAACTCTCCAGCGAGTTTTTGAATAGAATAATAGACTTAAAAGTTTCTTTTGAATAGATCATCCAACAATGATCTAGAAAGAGGGAGAATTTATCACCTTTAAGAGCCTGTTGAACCTCCCATAGCCAGTGCTCAGGTTGCATAATGTGGAACTGCAAGATTTGGCTTGAAGAGCTCATCAGCCATGATTTCTTTGCCCAAGGACAGTCCCTCAAAATATGAATACATGTTTCCACCGCATCACCGCATACCCCACACAGCTCATCCAAACTAATTTTCCTTAGCTTGAGATTTGCATTCGTGAAATTTGCATCCAGGCCGANAAATATGAATACATGTTTCCACCGCATCACCGCATACCCCACACAGCTCATCCAAACTAATTTTCCTTAGCTTGAGATTTGCATCCAGGCATACACTCCATGCAAAAATTTTAATTTTTCTAGTATTTTTTGGTTCCAGAGGAATGACCAGCTAGTCTCACCTAACCTACATCAAGCCCCATCTGCATCAGAATCTACCTTTACTAAATTATTCAACTGTTAGGTGATATGCACTTCGGACTGAAAGTTTTTCTTTGCGATTGTTAAGAGTTCTTATTTATTGTTAGTCGTGTTGGTTAATATTGTAATGACTCATATGCTATAAATAAGGTGTAGAGCAACATTAGCTCATACACATTATTGTCCTCAGTCTCTTTCTCTTTTTTTCTTTTCTTTCTCTTCCTCCTAAATCTAAACCCTAATATTTGATTATTTGAATCTTAACTGGGATTATAATGCCAAGCTATGCAAGTTCCATTGTAGGAAAGAGCCATAACGATACCCGTATTGCTGATAATTGAAGTTCTTGTAAAGTTATTCTGTAATTGATGGGCATAGCCATGCTACCAACTGCTCTTCCAATGGTGTGAGGCCACGGTTCAAGCCCCTTTAAGGGCTTAATGAATTGCGGGGCATGGGGACCCCAGGCTATGGGCTGGGTGGGGACGATTCTAGGGGGAAAATTTTGATTTAGTCATTTGCTTTTACTAGATTAATTCCTGTGTCAGCAATGTTGAATATCAATATGGGGGTCGACACTTATTTTGTGCATGTATAAGCTTGTATGTGTGTCTTTATTATGGATGGTAGACATACATGCTATTCGCATTAATTGAACAACAAAATTTCTGAAGTTCATATAATATTAAAATGGAAAAACTATGAAGAGCCGCAATAACAATGGTATACGGTAAATTCTTGTGATTATGATAGCCAACTACTGGTTACCTTATGAAACGTTGTGTTCCTTTCTTCAAAGTTTTCTGTATGTTTTTGAAGTTCACTAAGACTAACTATCCGAATTTGTGACAGTTTCTACGTTATAGATTTCTCGATGCAAGCTCACTTAAATGTTTCTCTCTAATTGTTACAAACTGGTTTTGACAGATCAATGAAAAGGGACAACTTCGCCTTAGCCGCCGAGCACTGCTTCCAGATCCAAATCCAGAGAATTCCAGTGTAAAGCAACGTCCAAGTAATTTTAACAATAATACAGCTTCGCAAAAAACTGCTGATAAGGGTACACCTAAGAAGGTTTTGGGCATAACAAAGGATGGTTTAGCAGGAAATAACATTGAACACCCCAAGAGTAAAAATGTTGCTCCAAAACTCACAAATCCTATCAAGCATAAGTCAGCAGAGGACATTCTGTTTTCAGAGGACAAGGTTGTCAAGAGATTAGATAGCTCTGCCAAGGATGGACCATATTTTAACATGGATAGGCAAAAGAAGAGCAGCAGAAAACCTGTTATAAGTATATCCAGCAACAATGAAAATACATTAGTAAATGGAGAGGCCAAAGTATAGCAAATGTATGTGGTTCGGGTTAAAAAGCGAGTCCCCTTTTTTACAACGAGTGACGTTGGATGAGCCCCTGCACTGTAAGGGAACAAAGGTATGGGCTGGCTTTGTTTTTCATGATGCACGGTTAGTTAGTTTATAGGTTTCCATTTTTTTATTAATATCATTACCTTGTTGGATGAAGAATTCATGTACCTTGTGAAAAAGGAATGGGAAAAGTCAGTAATTAGTGTTAGACCAACGATATTGGGCACCGAGATTGGTGTGGTACAAACGGTCCTAGGCTGCCTTCAGTCTCAAACTTGCATGTGTATGTTTGACCAATGTTACCTGAATCGTGGGTTGCTTTGATACATGGTACAGGTACAGATATACGATACAACACTTTTTTTGGTATGTGGTATGATAGGGGTAGATTTAGCTAGTACGATATTTGGGTTGCAATTCATTTTAGAACTCTTATGTAGATTGTTTTCACTACTATACAAAATTATATATTATAAAACATTTACAAATACTAAGTCAATTACCATTTATCTTTTAGTTGTGCATGATTTTTTATTATGTAAAACAATATATAAGATATATATGTAGTCAATTAATATGTATTTTGTGTTTGTGTTTCATGTTCTAAAGTGAATTGATTTAGGGTTAGTATTATAATTTGAGATCGTCCATTTTGGTGATCTGGATCGCGAACCTACCCTGTTTGAGTTCCATGCATTCAAATCGTGGATCGTTAGGGGTTTAATGAATTGTGGTAACTATGTGTTTGACACCATAAGTTAGGGTCCCTCCAAATTTAAGTACGATCTCTCCCTTTGGCTCTTAGGGGCTTGGTTGCTTATAAAGTAATATTATTACACCGACTCCACAAAATGAAATCAGATTCAATGTGCCTGTCCTGCAGACTTCAGGTTACATATTTTGTGGTTTGTTTTGTAAATATCTTAAATTATGTTTGCCATACAGCATCTATGGTAATCCCTTTTCTTACCCCTCTTCTGTTTTCCTTTATTCCTGGCTGTTTTTTCAGTACAGCGAGCTCAAATGCTAGTAATTAGTAGTCAGTACCTAGTGTAGCAACGAAGATGGAAATTGGATGCCCTTTGAGCAATGCCGAACTTGATAAAAAAAAGGGCCACCGCTCCCACAGTGAGGGGGGTATTTTTTGTGGAGGGGTGCATGCAAAATTGTCTGGCTGGCAGTTTCGTTCTGTTCTAGGATAATCTTGTTGGCCATGATACGGAATCAATGGATTTGAGCACCCATGATAAAGAAGTTTAGCGAATTTCTTTTTCTTGGTTCTATTTTTTTTATTAGGCTGTAGGGTGTGGTCACTCTTTCTCGCACACACCTCTCTCTCTCTCTCTCTCTCTCTCTCATAGTTGCATCTTCTTTTTGGCAGGGAAACCACATTAGATCGTGCCACAGCATTAAAATTAGCACATCTATATCCTGTCATATACAGTGGAACCAGTTGACCTAACAAGAGCAGCGGAAAGGATTCACCTTTGCAGCGGAAAGGTTCTAGCACAATTGCTTCTAGTGCGACACTTGGAAGTTGGAAATCTGTGGTATTTGAAGCAGCAGCAGCTGCTGCATGGCTGTTCTATTTTAATTGTTCTTAGAGATACCGAGTTTATTTGCTCTTTCACTTTGTACCATTTTTTGGCGTTTTGTTTTTGTTTATTACTTGGATGTAAAAAATTTCAGCTTCCATTAAAAAGAGGGTTAATTTGTTGTATTGGACTTTTTTTCTTGAAACCTTTTTCTTTCTGTTAGTATTTCTAGGACTGAAAAAAAAAATAGAAAAAGAAAGGCATTTGGTGTTAGATTATGAAGGAGGATATTGGAATAAAAGAGAAGAAGAAAAAAATTAGGAGGAAGAATTGGCTAGGGGAGAAAAATAATGGAATTAGGGAGAAATTAATCTCAATATACACTCGATAGTCCAAGTGTGAACAAAGTCAATGCGTCGTAAGGTCAAAGAATTCTGATATAATTCTATAGCCAAATATGTGAAAATTCCTAAAATACGAAAGAAAATCCCATAAATCTAAAAAAAAAATCAAATGAAGGTTTCTAATTTATGTTATTCAATTTCAAAGTGATCCATCTATTTTCTAAGTGATACATCTATTTTCTGATGTCTATTAGCAGTCCATCCAGTACACAAGACTTTTGCTAATGTGGTTCTAGGAAGAAACCCTGATACACTTATCAAGTATCTTACTAGATTTTTTTTTTGTCACATTAATGTGGATTTTGTTAGATCAATGAGTTTCTTTAACTTTTCAAGTCATCAAACCATCCTTTGGTGACCGATCATCTCTCAAGATAGGCATCTACAAACAGAGAAACATGTTAGACTACTTTATTGAGAAGGTAGAAGAAGACAGATACATTTGCAATTAAGTTGGTGAGGTCCAGGAAGCTGAATAATTTTAGAGTTTTTTAAGTAAAAATTAATATCTCGCTTTTTGACTCCATCAAATTGGTATCCCTTATGTCCAGTTCCTAAAAGGCTTGTGCATTGTCAATAGAAACTTAAATGTGTAAACGATGGCATTTCTTATAGAAAAACAAGTGTCATTATCCAAAACAAAGCTTCTCCAAAATATGAGGGCCTTAAGTGTACCAAAGTTTGATATTGGAACCCGTGTTAATTTACTCCCATATTTAGCCTACTAACAATTAGGTCTAGGCGAGCTCAAGCCTACGCAAAATGGAAGTACAACATGCTTTCTTTATCANACCCGTGTTAATTTACTCCCATATTTAGCCTACTAACAATTAGGTCTAGGCGAGCTTAAGCCTACGCAAAATGGAAGTACAACATGCTTTCTTTATCAAAAAAAAAAAAAAAAGGAAGGGAAAACATAAAGAGAAAGTGATAGAAACTAAGGTGCATTGCTCCTTAAAACGAAGCTACACCACATAAAAGACCTAAGCGGGAATTCCTAATTAGGTACAATTTGCACTCTGTTAGTGTAAATTATTTACCACAAGAAGTTGGGCCTCCAATAGAAAAATATTTGTTAGGAAAATGTTTGTAATTGACTAATTTTGTGAAGTCTTGATTTAAATATCAACCTAATTTCCTAGTTGTGATGCCTTAAAGATTAAGATCCGTAAGTGTCAAGGAGGGGAAGAGTTAAAGCTACAAAGCCTTATCAAGAGTTCTTCGATGTACCTTCAAGTTTAGGACAAAGGTAATAACCTAAAGACTAAGAACCCTTGGTTTAATTTTAGACTTAGAATGATTAAGATTATGAAAATGGAATTGAAAAAATCCGTGAATGACTCTTAGGTGTTTTCAACCAAAAGTTTTTTAAAACCCTAAATGAGTTTTGAAAACATAGAATGAGCCATGAATCGAATCCTACATGACCAACACCTTTAGCGCTCAAGAGAATTAGTTTTTACTTGTTTTTTGGCTTTAAAACCAGTAGGGACCGCCCTCTACTTGCTTGCCTTTAGAATCGTCTTTAAACACTTAGGGATAACATTGGAGGAGACTAATGAGTTGGATAATGGAGACGACCCTCAAGTTGCTTGTAGATCGTTGAGCGGTCTGATCACAGCTCGAGTGATATGTACTCCACTATTATGGTTAGATTTTTTATTCATTCCAACAGCTAGTGCCTCTGACCGTTGTTCCACTACTCGAGTGGTTGTTCACAAATTCTGGTTACTCTTTTACTAGTGCATCTCTTTTGTGAGTTAATTTCTTCCCTCCTAAACCTTGAGAGATTTTAGAATAGCCCTAGATCCGTAGGACCAAAGGCCATTCATCTCGATTCATCTATCTCAACATTGGAGAGGAAGAACTTGCTTGGTGATTAATAAAACCCACTTTGGTGTGTGCATTCCGAGAGTCTTGTGTATGAAGCCTTAAAGATTACTCGAGGGACCTAGATGATTCATTGCGGTGAGCGTCTCGGAGTGAAGTTACTCAAGACTTCAGAGGGTGATATTCGGAGGAGAGATTTACAATGAAAAAAAGCATCTAGCCATGAGAAGTTGTTGAGGTGTAAGACTTAAGTACATGTAAATTGACATTTAGTATAGTGGATTAGGTTCTAGGTGAACTAGGATTGCATCCATAGTTTTTTTTGTGAATTTCGTGTCCACAAATTACTTGTGTTGTAGATGTTCTTATTGATTGCTTAAATTTCACACCTGCACATACACTTCCAATTGCACACACAATGTTTGATGAATTGCCACTTTAATTTTTTTATTTAAGTCATTCATCAATTTGGGTTTTGTGAGCATAGGCTTTGATGTGGGATTGTAGTCTTAGTGAGTTGGATTGCAATTTAATAATTTGAAAATTATTGCATCAATTCACGTGACGGGTGTTTGACTTGGTAAAAAAGGATTCACACACTTAATTGCATAATTAACTTGATAATTGGTAATTGTGTAAATTAGGTTAAAATTGATGATTGTTTCGTTGAAATTTTTTGATAAACCTATTCACTTCCCCCTATTCCACGGGTATAATTATAAGGGACAATCCTTTTCGCATTGTGTGTTTTCNTTAAAATTGATGATTGTTTCGTTGAAATTTTTTGATAAACCTATTCACTTCCCCCTCTAGGTTGTGCCTAGTAATTCCACGGGTATAATTATAAGGGACAATCCTTTTCGCATTGTGTGTTTTCATCCCNTTTTGATAAACCTATTCACTTCCCCCTATTCCACGGGTATAATTATAAGGGACAATCCTTTTCGCATTGTGTGTTTTCACAGTTCATCACACTTAGATAGGAGAAGTCAACACAAGTGGAATTGGCTTCTTGTTCCAGAATTAAAAATTTAATATTTATTAATAAATTTAAAATTTAGTGAGGTATTGATATAAGTAGTTGGAAGATGTCTTAAGTTATATAGTTGGCAGATGGTAAAATATCTAGTGAGATATTAATGTAAGTAGTTGAAGATGCATTAAATTAGCTAGTTGACAGATTGTCACACCCCAATTTATATAATAAAAG